CCGGGCCGCCGCGGGAAAAGGAGCGGGGTTAGGGGCGTGGGGGAAGCGGGACCGAGGAGAAAGAGGGGACAAAGAGCAAAGACCCAGTTAGAAAGAAGAGCGGAGGGCACTCCGGTCTCGGGGACCCTCTGGGCCACGCGGCGCAGGGGGCGTCTCTCTCTCTCTGCGCCTCCCAGGTTGCCAGCAGCTCCCGTTCCGGGGGGGAATGGGGTTGGGGCTTAGGAACGCAGCAAGCGGCTCCCCCTGTTTCGGGTTCTGATTTCCTTCCTTCCTTCCCTGGCCGGCCCTTTTGCGAAGTGCCCCACGCCGCGGCCTCACCGTCGGGGGACAGGACAGGAGAAGCGAGTCTTACCTAATTGCACACACGCCGACACTAGTTTGCGGCAGTTGGTCTCCATTCCCCGTTATCTGCAAAACAGAAGAAGGGCGGTGTGGAGCGGCGGTCCACGCGAGCGCAGGGCTCCAAGGAGGCTCCTGGGGGGCGGGCGACCTCCACACCCACAAGTGGGCGCCTACTCTGTGCCAGGTTCTCGGACCTCCCAGCCGCTGTCTCCCAGATCCAGCCCAGCCCAACCCAGCCCAGCCCGGGGAGTGAGGGGGAGATTTCCCTCCACAGCCCCAGCGAATGGGCCCACGGGCTCTTGGCCTATAAAGCGACCGTGTTCTGGGGTCCTAGGCTGCGGATCTACTCTCCAGGGCTCTGTCAGGGGTTAAGAGCCCCTCTGAACACCATGGTAACCTTGGCAGATGCAAACTTTGCGGGGCGGGTGGAGAGGCCTTTTATCTTGGGGAGTTGTATGCGAAGGCCACACCATTCAGCACAGCGCTGCTCTATTAGTTGGAACTCAGTAAACATTTGGAGAATGTCAGAGTCCACTCGCTCCTGTCCTAGACAGCAGCGGCCCTCGATTTTCTGCAGCTCTACAGCGAACAGGACTCTAAGGCTCTCGGCCTAGGGGTCTCCTGGAACAAGCCTTCTTTGAGCCTCTCATCCATCAGGAGCTAGTTTTCCATATTTAGCCACACTTCTCCCTGGAGATACTCACCCGGCCATTTATTTACCCTAAAGTATGATTTAGGATCACAGAGGAGAGAAGCGGTGTGGCCAGGGTGAGACTGAGGAGAGCGGGGCAAACGTCCCCAGAGGGTTTACTGCCCCCCAAGGATGGAGAAATAGCTCCGAGACCGGCTTCCCCAATTCTGCCCCTTCTGCTCCGAGGCAAACCAAATCTTTTTTTTCAAATTTCCAACCACAACGCAGCGAGCCTCACGTTTAGCGCGCTCCCCCTTCTCCGCCACCGGCAAACCGGGAGAAGTGGGTGGTGAGGGGCTCTGTGGGGTGGAGTAGAAGAGCTGCGGCTGCTTTTAAAGACAGAAGAAATGAAAGAAGGCCCCGGGCTCGCAGGACCGTGGGATCGCTGCGCCTGCCTCCTTCCACGCTCACCAGGGTACGCGGCGGCGGGAGGGCCCGCTGCCCTGGGGTAAGGGCTGAGGGTGGGCCAGGGCGTTGCCGGTTAGCGGAGGGGCCGAGGGGGCGGGTCGCCGCGGGTCTGCCTCTGGCCTGAGTCGCATTTCTCTGCTCCTTGGCCTCTCCTGGAAGGAGCGGGAGGGACCCAGGGCCTCTGGCCAAAGTCGCTGCCCAGAGGAGGGGCAGCGGCGTGGGGATCCGAGGGTCGAGACCGCCCAATGGTTTTCCCACCCGCCAGCGAGATCAGGGGCTCCGCGGCTCTTGGCGGGGCCCCGGGTCCCAGAAGTAGCAGTTTGGCGGTTCCAGATTTAGTGATTCTGCAGTAAAATCACAGGATTAGTCCCTGATTGAGATGTCTGTTCGTGAGATATTACAAAATTCATTATCACAGCTTTCTACTAACTCGATATGAAGTAACACAGATGGGATTTTATTAGTCCAGACTTCAAATGTTTACTTATGATAATTTCAGGGGAAATTTGCATGTCATCATCATTTCGATAATCTTTTTTTTTTTTCCCCCTTAACGTCTGAACTGGCTGCATTATTAGCCGGTGGCCCTGGCATTGCAGATGGTAACTGCAAATAGTTTTTATTTTCTGAAAGAATGAAATGTACAAAAGAAAAAGATCCGGGCCACTCTATATAAAGTCAGTCAATTATCGCTCGCATTCTCCCCCACTCCCAAGCTTCGGTTCTGTGGACCAAACAAAGTAACACAAAACAAATCTTCAAGAACTCTCCTCTAAAGATTGAAAAGAAGGTCAAGGCATGTTCCTTAGCTCACTCCCGGTGTCCTTGTGACTTGGGGATTGGCTTGGTGGTCAAAATGAGCCCTGAAACCTGCATTCATTTATTTGTATTTTATTTTATTGTTTTGTTTCACAGAATGACCAGGCCTCCTAGATAAATTAAGTCTAAATAACTAGGGAAGATAATTAAAGAAATTTTCTAATTCCTGCCTGCCGATCCTCACATGTGCCCCTGTCAAGACAAATCTTACAAGACAAATTTGGCTGCGGGATTTAAGGTCTAGCTTCCCTGGCTGATTTCACAAATTAACATGTGCAAGTTTTACTGATAGAAAGTTTTTACCCCGAAAGTTCATGTCCTGGTTGGAGAGTATATGCCAGGGGACCTTGTTCTGTCCAACTTGAGTTTTCTATTGTGAGCATGCTAAAAGCACTAGACAGCTAATAAAGCACACTGAATCACAGGGGCCAAGACAGGCAGGCGAGCACTAAGAAATAAAACAATTTGCTTAAAATGAATTTCTAATGATTGCCATAAGAAAAATTGCTGGAAAAAGATAGTACTCATAATTCCAAATCCTTTCACACTCCCTCCCCTTTCCTTTCATTTTGATACCCTATAATAAAATCTTCAATGGAAAATTTAAAAATAAACAGCACAAGAACATATGTTTTAAATGAACTAAATTGGGGAGATTAGCCAGTAAATTAATTCTCAGTAGGTAATTATTTAAGGACATTAAAATACTGCACAACACAGTTCTGTAGTTTACCAGTTTAAGCCTTCTTTTAAACCAATTAATATTGATGCTTTAGGAACACTTGAGAAACAATGCACCTGAATGATTTAAGTGTGGTTTTGCTGAGATAAAGTAAAACATTCCATAAATGAAGTAGCTATTTAATTTTTAGGGAAAGTTTGATTATTGAATTATTGCATGGTTATTTTATGTTGTATGAACAGAAATCTCCAAGCTATTTTGCTTAATTGCTTTGTTTCCTTGAAATAATTGGTATTAGAGTTTTAGATGAATTTTCTCCAAAATGACATTAAAACTGTCTTTAATTCTTATTAGTGGCCTACAAAGAATTCAAGGGCATCTCTCTAAATTAGGTTAATTGTTCATTAAAATGTTTTCGAATGTATGAATTCCTATTATTTTAATTTATCGTGGCAAAATATTTTTCCATTTAGTTTACTTTAGTAAGACATAATACGTGCACACAAAAAGAGTAAAAATCAGACCACCCTATGATGGGTTGGTTTCTGAATTGCTTAGGAAAAGTAAAGCCATTACATTGGAATAAAAGAGGAACATATTTCTCAGATTTAGAATCATTTTTTTTCTTACTTGACGTTTGGAAGAGTCCTTTTCCGTGCACCCATTTAAAATGTATCTCTTGAAGGGTAAGACGAGTTGACTGGCGATCAATTTAAAGGATTTATAAGCCGAAGTAATTGTGTGAGCTTGGCATCCAGTCCTGGCTCCCAGGTAATTCGTTTGGGCCTGGGAGGTCACTCACTGCCAGTTGAGATGGAATCTTTCTTCCAGTTGTAACAATGGGAAGGGGGCCGATCTCCCAGTAGCTCAAACTTTGTGCCCAGCCCTGGATCTCGGGAATGCTAAGCCCCAGCCCGAGGATCTGTCCCTGCCGCGCTGGCACCGAGATTTCGGGGAAGAGACCTCGTTTTAAATGCCAGCCCCGGTCTCGCTTCCCACTCGACCCCAGCGCCCCACAGATTGTTCGTGTCTGCGACTGGGGACGCAGGGAACGGGGCTTTGCAAGTTCTGTTTGCCAACCGCGTTACCTCGGGGGTGGGGGGTGGGGGGAAGGCATCCCCAAGAGCTACAAATCACCGACAGCGAAGATTCTCCAAAGTGGAACCAATTCTTAAACTCGCATGATCTCACACCCTCGCGGGGCGGACGGCCTCCACTTACCCGCTACCGGGAGGAAGCTGCTGCCTCCGTGTCCCGCCGCTTCCC